CAGAACTGAACCTGAACCTTAGGTTTGAACCTCATATTTATACAGTTTAAAGTACTTTTTTAAAAAAATAAAACTACTGTACTACGAATAAACAAAAAAGAAGCATATAAAATGTTTTATTAGGGTAAATCAAAAAGTTAGCATTATGATAACCTAATTCTACCTACCTATCTTTAATAAGCTAACTTCTCTAAAGCAAAAAGGGATTTTGATTTACCCTAATAAAACTTTCTATATACTTCTTTTCTATTTATTCGTAGTAGTTTTATTTTTTTTAAAAATGTACTTTAAACTGTATAAATAATGTAAAATTAATTTGATTTAAACTGCCAATCATACAAAAGTCTTCCTATGATCTGAAACCCCCTATTGCATTCTTTTTTACAATTTTCACATCATCTTTTTAATTCACATTTTTTTTTAAATTCCATTTATCAAGACTACGGAGCCTGATAATATAAGCAAATTTCATCGAATAATTAATTAATTAATTATATCGATCTTTAAACCTATAAAAAGAATAAAACTCTTAGAACAGCCAGTTTGTATGGAGTTTCGATGATAAATAATATTCTCATTTATTATTATTTCAATATTTTTTGTAAGTTTTGTCGACTCTCACATTCATTTATTAGTTTTACTATTTCTTATCAGTTTCATTTATTTTGCCAGTTTCGTATTTCACCCTTTGAAAGATTTTTTGGCAAAAGAAAAAACTATATTTCGGTATTTGCCAATACAAAACCTCTAAGGATATAATTTTGCCATTTCTTGAAACACTCTGGTGTTTTAGGATTGAATAGTATGGTCGACAACTGCAAATGGATAATTTAAAATACTCTTGACCTATAATTAATACGTTGATATCATTGCTTTCCAATACCTAATTTAGATATAAAGCTAAAACGACGATCTTATAAAAATTTATTTTGTTAAGCTGTTTACAAATTGTTGTTTCTCGCTCATTTTATAAAAACAAAATTTATATTTTATTTATAAAAACAAATTTTATATTTTATTTATAAAAACAAATTTTATATTTTATTTATAAAAACAAAATTTATATTTTATAAAATGTTAAATGCAAATAAAAGATTTCAAAGGATATTGAGATAGGGATTCAAAAAAAAAATTAAAAAGTTAAAATTAAGATTTCTTATCCCAAGAGGAACAAAAGATAAGAATCTAAAATTATAGATTAAACGAGAAATGTTTTATCTCTATAGTATAATGATAATTAGATATTGTGATGATTTTGTTTGTTAAGAAAAAAATACTATATATGCACCTTCCTAAGTGCATGTTACATATTTTATATAATTTAATTTAAATCCAAGTTGGAGAATTTGCTGATTTCTATTGAACTCATCGGCTTACTAATATACTCTGAAAAATTTTTCGTATCATACATCTTGCTCGTATATATATCTTGTGGATGTATTTGTTTATTCGTTTCAGGTTTAATTTTATCAGCTTCCAAAATTTGATTTTTGATTTCGTTATCTTCTTCCTGATCCATTTCATCTAACCATCGAGTGATTATTTCAACAATTTCTTTTACAGTAGGTCGTCCATTGATTTTTTTATCCATACACTTCATAGCTAATTTAATATAACAATCTGGTCCTAAACATTTAGGTCTTAATCCTCCAATAATTTTTAATCCAAGTTCATCATTAAACGGAATTCCATCAAATGCTCTTTGTCCGGTCGAGATCTCTGTCGCGATAACTCCAAGACTATAAATATCTGATGCTTGAGTGTACGATTGACCCATCAAAACCTCAGGTGCAATGTACGGCAGAATTCCACAAATTTTTCCTTCCTTTTCTTCTTTAGAAAGTCCAAGATCAGTAATATACACATATTGTAGATTACTTCCTTGCAAAATGTTTCCGCTATGTAAATCTCTGTGAACGAGTTTTTGCGAATGTATCGAATCGAGATCCAAAGCTATACCATACAAAATATTCAATTTATCTTTCCATTCTAATTGTGATACTTGTACAAGATTTTGTCGTAATGATCCTTTTGGTGCATTGTGTAAAACAATAATATAATCACCATTATTCTTTCTTGACACTCCAAAACAGTTCAAGAACGAAGGATTCTCGTAACCAATTTCACAGAAATTCTTCAACTCTTGGATAAATTCTTGCTCATTTTTGTTTGAATCATGAATCACTTTAAGTGCAACATTCCTCGATATATTATTAACTCTATCATGCCAAACTGCCCTGTATACAGTTGCAAATCCTCCTTTTCCCTTTTCCATGATAATTTTTAATTCATTATAATCAATCCAAGATAATTTAAATCTATCATCGTCTAATATTATCTTAAGTTCAGGATTGATATTATCTGGTGATTTATTAGTTTTCAAAAGACTCTTATATTTTCTGTACCAATAATTTGCACTCTGAATATCTCTATTTGTACCGATCCCGTTACGATAAAATCGAGCAACATTAACCGATGCTTTCTCGGCACCCATATTAACGGATTTTTTATAGTATTCAAATGCTTTTTTATTATCTTGATCAACCCCCGTTCCATCTTCATAACAAGCACCAACATTACTCATTGCTTCAGCATTACCCAAATCAGCCGATCTCTTACAATATTCAAATGTTTTCTGGTAATTTCTTTCTACTCCAATTCCATAATAATAACAATTAAAAACATCATTCATAGCAAACGAATTTCCTAACTCAGCTGCTTCCATAAAATATTCAAAAGCCTTCTTATCGTCTTTCTCAACACCAATACCATGTAACCAAGTTTATGAAGTTGTTTAGAGTCCATTTTTTATAAAAGAAATATATATATATATATTTATATATAGCATTAAAAAAGTACGTACGTGCGTACAAAATTTAATTGTCTGGAGTAGCGGAGGTCATTTAAAGTTTAGCCAAAGTGTTACAAAATGTAACATCAATAGTAACATTTTTGATTAGCCATTAATTGACTTATACGTATTGTCTATCAAAAACGTAATTTAGAAAATTTTTCACGTCTGTCCACATGCATATTTGTATTTTAGTGCGACAAAACCAAAATTATACCAATAAAATCAGCCCATTCATTAAATAAGCTGATAATTTTGCTATAGATAATTTTAGTTCAATTTTGATGCATTTGCTCGGAATTTTTTCTATACAATTGGATAATTATTTTTTTGAAATTTATCAATAAAGGCAGAGGGATTGTTAAAAAAAAATTACAACATATTCTTGCTACAATCTGTGAACAGATGATTGTAAAAATATAAACACACCATTTGTTACAATTTAAAAATAATATAAATCGAACGCCCTCAATATTACAACACTAGCGTAACAACCAATAGAGTTCGAGTCACATGATAATTCGATATCTTGATCACATTTATTTTGACAAACCTAGATGTATTTAGCAATAATCATCATTAATGTACATTTCTTTATTTACAGAAGGCTATAATTAGCTACGTTTAAGGTTAGGATTAGTTTTAAGGTTGGAATGAATTATATTCTATGCTAAATTTTACAAGAAATATTTTTGTTATAATGCCCAAAGTTGGTTTACATTCAGGGCTTTGAGACATTTAAAATAAACAAATAGAAATTCTCAATTAATAAATAGACCACATTAGATGTTTTTTATTTTCAAATTTACAACAACTAATAATCTTTTATAATTATGTAAATTTGTGGAGTTTAGTTGAACTATGTCGGATCGAACATTCGGTGTGTTTATCTAGATGGTATTGTATTAATAATATTATTACAAATATTTAATGCGTAAATTTAAATTTCACTCAAATATCTTCGTCATGTCATAATATTTTGCTAATAAGAAAGCATCAAACTTTTAAATCACTTATATAAAAGTAAAATTTTTTAATTTTTTAAATAGTTTATTCTTTAGATATTTCTTCACTTCAACCGGTTCGTCTTAATGATATTATCAAAGAAGTTTTGTGAGTATGTATGAATATTATGATGACTCAAAATAAATCCTGTATTTAACATGGTGAAATTCTCAGGTCATTAATTTAATAAAATCGCTTTTTTTGTGATGATTTTTCTGTCAATATGTTTATTTTATCTTACGATAAAGATTTTTTTACTGAGCAATTTGAATCGTCATTAAGCAATACTAGCTAATCAAGTCTATAGCAAAATTATCAGCTAGACATTTTTTTGTTTAAATAAGCTACGACTTCACTGATAAAGTTTTGAAATAGTTACATTAAAAAACATGCATGCAGACTAACGTTAAAAATTTTCGAAAATACGATTTTAACAATTGATATAACTTTTGTATCACTTTAACTAAACATAAATCGTACACTGGACAATGAATGTAGGTATTTATTTATTTTAAGGTTTTTTTCTAAATAAAAATGGGCTCTGAACAACTTCGTACATTGGTTACAATTATCAACATGGTATTGGTCTTGAGAAAGACGAAAAGAAGGCTTTTGATAATTATATGAAAGCAGCTGAGTTAGGAAATTCGGCTGCAATTAATGATGTTAGTAATTATTATTGTTATGGAATTGAAGTAGAAAGAAATTACCAGAAAGCATTTGAATATTGTAATAAATTCGGTTGCTAGTTGTTATGAAACCGGGGTATAGAAATTATTTACGGTACGTCTAATAATTTGTACTGTACGGTACGGTACAGTATTATATTATAATAACCGTACAATGCAATATATATATAAATAACGGTTTAAAATACTAACTGAAATATAAATGATACAATTTATGAAATATTTATTTCGAAATTAATTAAGTATTTATTGTATTTATTTCGAAATTAATTAAGTATTCATTTTGAAATTATATACTAATACGTATATATGTTTATACCTATTAAGTTTTTTTTAAAAAAAAAACTATTTAAATAATATCATGGATATTATTAAATAAGGGCACTACCTTTTTATATGAAAAAAACAATATTTAGTAAAATTACTTAATATTACATTTAAATTATACTATATAATTAATTACTCAACTGTTTTAAGCTATTAAGTTTTTCGCGCAATTCAATTTCTTCCTTCAAAATTTTTAAACTTTTTTGCCGTAATTCAAGTTTTTTATTTTCCCATTCAATATAGTTATCTTGTTCTTGCATTGTAGGAATAATAGTTGAAGCTGAAGTTGGAATAGAAAACAAATCTTCAGTATTTTTATCCAATGCTTTGTTTTTGTGTTTTTTTTGTGATATAGTTCTTGAGGCAGGTTCTTTACTTTTATTTTTTCGTTTTTCTAAATAATTATTATATAAGTTATTAAATTAAAATATAAAAATAAAAATTAATAAAATTAAATTAACTTAACTTACGGCTTCTTTTTGAATTATTTGTCAATCGTGCTAATTCAGATTTATCATTATAAGATTCATGTATATTATACTTTTCGTATGTTCTTGCTGAATGCCATTGACGTTGATCAAAATCATCACCTCTATAATTAAAAAAATTAATACTTATAAATTTTTAAATAAAATTACTATAGTATTTTAAATAAAGTACAGTACAGGACAGCAAAAACCATCCACTTTTTTATATATAAATATAAAAATGCTTATAACTTTTGAACAAGTGATTTTTATTTTTATTATAAATTTAAAAAGTTATTAAAGCTTAAAATTTATAAATTTACATATAAAAACCAAAATTTGGCGCTTATTATATAAAAAAAATCATTTTTATATATTTTAACCAATCAAATTTTTGTTACACGAAAATTAGCCAATCAGAATTATTATAAATTCTCAAATTTGGCGCTTTTAAAAAAAAGTTGGATGTTTTTTGCTGTCCCGCACTGTATATATTGCTGCTAATAAAGATAGTGATCGACCATCTTGGTTTATATTAGCATGTGTCGATTCACTAACATTAGTGTTATTTGGTGTTTGATTCCAAATATCAGCATCTATTTTAGTGAATGCTAATGAAAGCCCAGCCAATATCCATGGTTTGTATTTATCACGAACCCATTCTATTTTTAAATTTAATTAAATCTTTATTTATATAATTTAATTTAATAATTATTATTTAATTATATAAAAAAAACCTGCTGCTCCCGATTCACTAGAATTTTTAATTTTTTCCAATACATGTAAAATTTCCTCTTGTGTATTTAATTTGACAATAGAATATATTAATTCTTTTGTCTCATTAGAAATAGCCTTATTACGAATATTACTATAATATAAATAATTTAATAAAATTTATATAATGTATAAATAAACTTTATTATTAAATTACTTACCGATTAAAATAAATTTGGCATAATTTATAAATATGCTTTAAATGTTCTTCACTTGATAAATGACTATATTTTGAATGAAGATATTTTTCAAGACCTGTTTTAATAAAAAATAAAGTTATTATATTAAATTATAAATATAATCTATATTAAATATAATTTATCAAGCGCTTGTCCTTGATGCTCATCTGCAATTATACAACCCAGCCCGCTACCATGAATATGCTGAAATTTGAATTTCTTATTTGTATCTTTTTCAACTATATTAAATAAATCTTCAAATAAATATTGATAGGCTTTAGCTAATTGAAAATTGGTAAAAACTCGTGCAAAGACTAATGCTATATAGTAAAATTTATAGTTTATTAAAATATTATTATTAATTAGTAACAAATAAAATTATATAAAAAATAATTTACCTTTTTGATATCGATTAACATATATACAAATTTCCCATTCATTTGTAATACCATGAACTCTTTTGAATGCCATATCTATTTCAACATATAATATTTCAGAAAGTAATTCTGTTTGTTCTTTTCTAGCACATAAAACAAGATATTGGCTATTATCAAGAAATCCTAAATTAAATAATTTAATTTATTGCAATTTAAGTATATTAATTTAATTTAATATTAATTACATACTAACTGAGCATATATATAGATCTGATAACTCTTTTTGTTTTAATAACTCATGTGCAACTCCTAAAATATATATTAAAAGATAATATAGTTTATTTTTATTTTAATAACTTTAATATAATATATAAGTTTAATTTACCAATTATATCTTGTCCAAATGGAAATTTTGATCATTTATTTTTTTCAATTAAATAGTTAAGGTGTGATTGATTGTTTAATGATGAATGAAGACTACTTAATGGTTGTTCTTGAAGATAAATTTTTAACATTGGTTCTAATTTAATTATTAAAATTAATTAATATGTAAATATTATATAGTATTATATAATAAAAAAAAAACTTATTTGTAAGAAGTTTACGTGCTGTAAGATTTAAATCAAGTTCATTTTCAATAATTTTTTGTAAATTTTTAATTATGTTTTGTGGAGTTTTAGTTGGTGGTGGAGGCGGATAATTATGAATACCAATAGAAATTATTATAATAAATGGACATTTGGTTAAATCTTTAGGTAAAATATGATAAAATTTTACAGGACAAGATCCTTTGTTAATTAATTTTTCCTTTAAAACTTAAGTGAAGATGTGCTATTTATTATATTGCAATAAAATAAAAATTAATTTAATATTATTTATTATAAATATAATTGAAATTTTAAATATTATTAATATTTACGGCAATAACTTGTTGTTGAGGAATTTGGAAAAACTGTAAAGCATTTATTTACAGATTTATTTCTATTATTTTATAATTAAATAAAAAAATTTTTTTAAAAATTAAATATTTAAGTATATTATAATAATTAAATAAATTTGTATTTAATTATACCTTATCACTAATTTTATTGGAGCAATAAGTATAATTTTGAAACAATTGTTTAAGATACTCCATATTAACACGATAGCTGATTGCAATATAACGATGCTTTTTGACCAAATTGATATTTTTGATATCCAATAAATTTTCGAATAGTTGATGTATTATCAATCTAAATTTATAAATAGATAAATTAATAAAATTAAATATATATTTAATAATTTATATATCTTATATACCTGTTTATATTCTTTGAGCACAGGTTTTCCATTATAACGAATATTAGTAGTTGGGTTAATATAAGAACATGGAGTATTATAAGCTTGCCCATATGTGCTAAAATTATAGAATTTTTTTTTAAATCTTTAAAATAATAAAAATATTTAAATATAATTCTTTACTTACTTTAAAGTAAATGTATTAACAGAAAATTTATTTGCATCAAAAATTCTTTTATATAATTGGTCTTCAAAATCAACTGATGTGTGCTCAATATTAAGAGTAGTTGAACCAAATTCACACACTTTTACACTATGACAAGATTGATAAGTTTTTTAAACTGGAACACCCAAAAATGGGCATTTTTTAATAGGTCGAATGTTTCCAGGATCTCCATAAGCATATTGGATATTAGAAATTCCAAATGCTTTCTTGGCATCATTTATATCCCAGCCTGAAATATTGTAAACACTTGCTATACCAGTTGAAGAAGTCTTCAGATATTCTTGAAATTCTAGATAATATTTGAATTGATCAACAGTTAAATCGTGACTAAATTTAGCAAATGTTGGTTCATGCTGTACAATTATAGTTTAAATAATTAACTATAATTAGTTACAATTGCTATAAATACTAACATTAAATAAAACAATATATCTCATCTTTGTTCTCTAAAAAATTTTCAAATAAATCATTATCGTTTAAATTATCTGCAAATAAACCATCTTCCTCCAAACTATTATCGCTGTTATATTCACTTTCAAAGCTACTAGAAATTTGTAAATCCTGTTTATAGAATAATTTAGTTGATTTTTTTTTAGTTGTTACAAAATACCAAACCACGGCAATAGTGCAAATAATACTTTGTAATCTAGAATAAATAAATTTGATGTTGATTCCTTAAATTCAATATAAAATTATTACTATGAATACTAGTTTATCGTTATAATTGTTATTGAAATAAAAAAAATTACTAGCACTAGCTCGTCATCTGTATCGGATATTACAATAACATCACGTTGTTTTGAAATTTTTTTATTTCTTGAGGAACTTGTATTAAACGTATTAGTATCAGTATCGATATTTAATTTCGAATCCATTATTTCTTAGAAATCGGGGTGCAGAAGTTTCGTACTGTATTTTGTTTTTAAAAGTATTGTACTGTACTTAAATTTAGGTGTACTATATTAT